CAGTAGGTCATTATAATAGCAATCGCAATAGTCATTATGAATAATGCTATTTTTGTACTTACTAGGTGTTTCGTCGAGCTTTTCCTCCCGTTTATGATGTGCGTATTCACGTTACTACTTAAATGGTGGTACCGACAGTTTTACACCGCCTCCGAACGGCAAATGTTTAAATGTTTAAAAGAAACTTCTAATTTAGATGTTGCTCGGACCAGAGATCAAACCCATGTCCCATGGAGTGATAGTACTCGCCTCTAGCCACTCAGTCACAGCAGCCGCAGTTAAAGCATTAGCCATGCGATGAATTTTGTCATTGGCACTGGGAATAGTGCCATAAATTTTGGTTCCAATTATAGATTGCTGGATACATTAAGGCAAGAACTTAGTGCTACTAACAACCCGGCCGCCTAAAATCCTAAATGCAAAAATTTAAAGCACCAGCATCTTTTTTTATAATATCGGTTGTTAAAATTTAGCGTAGTCTTATATATTTGTAGAATCCCACTACTGAATGGCTGCATACCTGATATTTTTATATATGTTTTTTTGCGCTTTTACTTAGATTTTATCACAGAAGAATCATGTTGACTTGCGCTGGAATCTGACGAAAAATGAGTGCGTAAATGTGGTGCTGTCTCTGTTACTTCAACAGCGTTTTTACTTAGCTTTTAACATTGGCTTAATAATATTCGCACTGACCTATACCTGATTGAAGTGAAAAGAGAAATTCACAGAAATTAAATAAATAAATAATGCATTTAAATTTTCAAAGGATTTTGTGACCAAAATACGATAATGCACTCAAAATATACATATTAGCAGAGAACTAATACTAATAACTCAAAGTTCATAGTTTAAGCTAAAAACTTGAATACTCAAAAGACTATAAAAAATGAGAATGTACTTATGAATGTATGTATGTGTGTGTATATACATATAAATATGTAATAAAAGCATTATTGCTATATAATGCTTGCAAGCAAAAGAAAATACAAAAAGCAGTTAATAAAAACATTAAAAATTTATATCGAATTAAACCTAAATAAATGTAATGTCAGTAGATACAAATACATAACACTAATTACAATTGTATGATAAGAAGACTCTCGATTTAGCTGGCATAATCTTTCTTTATAAAAAATATATGCTGCAATTTATTATAGTTACACTAAAAAATACAATGACTCTAGTGATAAAAATATGCAATGTTATGATAAAAAAATGCAATGTAATCTGCGCAATCTAAATATATACATATATGTGTATATGTATGTATGTATATACATATATATGTATGTATGTATATACATATATATGTATGTATGTATATACATATATATGTATGTATGTATATACATAACTATGTATATATATGTATCCAATATTAAAACTAAAAAATATATTGTAAAATATGTATTTATGTAAGTGATAATAAAAAAATATTTATTAAATGGAAAAATTGAGAAAGCTTTAAAAATTTTATTTACTTATGTTTTGCATTTTTACTATTTAGATATTAATATGTAATTCCATTTCCACACTTCAACCTCTTAGCTATCATTGTCACGATGAAGCAACAAGTTTGGATAGAAGCGTAATCCTTCTAACGATTCATCGCGACACACTTTACCTAAACGCTCAGCGGCTAACAGCCGCTCTTTTGCCAACAGCAAAGAAATACCCATCTGTTTGGCAAGCTCTTCAACCGCTAACGATGTGGCCTCTTTCACCTTTTCCAACGTATCTGCCGCTACAAGCTCATCATCTTGAGATTCCAACTGGAGTACCATAGCGCCACTGGGAAATTTTCTCAGCTTTATGGGACCATTGAGTTGTTCGCAAGCGTGTAGTAAGTCCTCTGGTGAGAGTAACTCAAGGCCGCGCGCACGGTTTACACGACAATAAACATCTGCAAGCGACATCATTCCACCTTGTTCCTGGAAATTGTAAAAATATAATTAATATGAAGGTTAAGAGTATTGAACTATCCTCTTGGTGTATACATACAAATGCACTGGAGCTCCTACTCACCTCAATGGGATCCAGAAGCAATTCACATACTTGTTGCGCCAAACTGCGAAAATATTCAGAGTTACTGGAGAAATGTTCTCGTGTCACTGGATCGTCTATACCTAAACTCAACAAATAGGATTTAAAACGCACCGTTTCGTCATCGGAAATTTCCCCTTTTTGTTCGCGTATCTTTGTACTTATCACCTTAGATATGGCTACCATATCTTTAGCCATGGCCATTAGTACATTAAGGTCCTGAAAAGCCAGTGCAATATTTTCATCCGTCTCTTTTGCCTTGGCTTCAATGGAACGCTCGATACCACCAATGCCAGTACGCATTTTCAAACGCAATTGTGCAGGATTGCTTCCTGCACCAGAATTTTGTTGGACATTACCCGCCTGGCATAGTGGCCTTGGTATGACTATTACTTCCCAAATACGTGCCTCTATTGTTTGGCGTAAAGCACTACCGAACTCGGGTGTTAACCCATTTTTTCCTGAAAGTTTAATATGGCTATGCGGACTGTAATCAATTGGGCCAGGTGCTTTATCTGGCGGTGGTTCGCGCAAGTGTAATATGTATCGTGTCTTGCGTCCGAAGAAGTATGAACTGGCCGCCTCTTCACTGAGGGATATCACATGACGTAGCGAGAGGCAGAGTGTTATAGCAGCACGAGCAATTTCACCAGGGCGACCCCAGAACAAACGATGAGTGGTGAGAACCACCTCACCTTCCTCATATTCTGTCTGGAAATGTTTTAAAAATGATAAATACTATTGTTATCTGCTGTACTAAAAATACTTACCTTTTGATCCCCATCATAAATTTTGACATTACGATCTCGACTCACAAATGTTTCATCGTCGTGCAAGCGCGCTTCCAGGTATTCAAAACGATTCATCCTTGCATTACGGACATTAATAAGTGTTTTATTGTTGTTAAAGTTGGAAATAAGCCTTCTTTATAAACAATTAAAAAATTAAGCAAGGGATAACGTCATTAAATGCTTAACAAACAGCTGATTGTATTGTAATTAAAGACCTCGTAGACGTTGCGTTTGTTTGTTGTGAGTTGTGAGCATGATACAAAAAAGAAGGTAGTTTCAATAAACAACTTTTTGATTAAAAAGCAGATTTTTGACAATTGCTCAATTGTGAAAAATTCGAAGCGGCGTTACACACCCAAAAGTGAAGTATAAAATAAATAGATAAAAACAAATTTTCAATCAACCTGATTTGTGTAGTTCAGGGGCGCTTTTGGTAAATGTTCTGGAGGCTGTTTTAATATATACTATCTTATTATATATTTCTTAGCTTTTCTACATTCTGAGAAGTTGAGAGAATGAAGTCTAATGTCCTTTTTTGGTCAACTATGACGTCATTTTATGCAATCATTAGTTCATTTCTCTTGAGGAGTCACAATGCCCATACCGGCTACACCGATTTTTTTTAAATTTCGGACACAAATTTTCCAAGAATGGTTATAGGCTAAAACAAAACCGATATCTAAAGGGGGTGTGGAACCTCCCATACAAATCGAATTTTTCATAGTGCATATCTCTGAAAGTATTTATGGTAGAGTCCTGGAACTTGGTATGGATATATGTCAATCTCAAGCTCATGGAAAAATATGGGTTTATTGGAAAATGCAGCGTGCCACCGTAGAACTGGAATAGAGGTAAATGAAATCAATCCCAAATCTATGAAAAATGGGGGTATATGAAAACGATCTCGTATCCAGCTACGAGAGCTAGCGGTATAAGCCATATAAACTAAAATTCTGGTGACGCAGAAAGAGATGAAGATGAGAGATGAGAAAAACGGGCGCGACACCTTCTGGAAAGTAACATGATCACAGGGTGTATCCCAAGAACCATGTTAAGCTAAACCTTGAGGGATTAAATTCTTGCCAATACCGACAGGCATAAGCTGAAATTGCGTCGCAAGTTTTACGATCGGCTTGGGTAAGGTTTAACCACTTAACCCCCCTTTGTTTTCGCCGCTACTGAATTCTATAAACTGTCAGCTTTCACACAATTTAATATGTACACGTGTATTTAAAAATGTCATGAAAATTGTGTTGCTAGCTTCATGTTGCAAAAATGTTGCAAGCTTTTTCACAGCGTGAACAGAATACTACTTTGCCGAGGAAATGTTATGGAATTTCACACTTATTTCACAGAAACAAATTTTATATGCACTTTAACAGCTTTTTCACGTGAAACAGGAATTAAATACTATGCTTAAGAACAAAGATTTTTAAATCGACAAAAAATTAATAAGAAAATTTGAAGGATTTTAGATATTGGGTATGGTAGCACGAAATGTCACAATCTGCTTAATTGTCAGGTTGTTAATATGGCGACGAAAAAGTGACAATGGAACTACCTTGTTTTTTGTATCATGATTTTGAGTATACTGTGGTTGTGAGAAAATATAAATTGACTGCTATGCTTAATTTCAAAAGTTATTCTTATTAATTGTTGAAACAGCGTTTTCGTAAAGAAATGGTAAAACATGTTGTCATTATATGATTATGATTTTTAATTCACTGTTTGGCTGTTGTCAGTTTTTAAATTTTACTCTATTTGCCAGTATTATCGTCAAAATGAATAACGCCTACATTAAGCTGAAATTAGTCAAGAACGTAAACGTACCGGTACGTAAAACCGAGTCAGCTGACACGATCTGTCATACCAGAGCCAGAGAACCATGAACGAACGAATAAAGATCACCCAGGACGGCGTGCGAGAAAAAAGTTATTTTTTTGCAGTGACGTCATTTTTTCGCCGCCATGTGAATAAAACGGAATGAAACCTGTGTGTGAATCAAAGAACCGATTAAAAAATGACGTCATCAACTATTATTTTTTTTCTCAAATGCAATTACAAATACACGGTTGCCGTACTGGGTGATCTTGTAAGTTGGTTCATGCCAGAGAACATGTAACACCTTGTATAAATTCGCCTTGGAGCATGTGGAACAAAGCTATAAATTCGCTTTGGTTTAATTTTACGATCCACACCACTATTCATCAGCTGCTTTCTGACTAGTTGAGCCTTGGAAAAAGTCATCTTTGGGAATCTAGCAATTGTGTAAGCAACTTATAAAATCAAAACAAGTTATTAATTTTCAAGTTTCTCTACTGACTTATTGAAAAATTTGCAATAAAATAATCCAATATGCAGTCCTCGCAGTACCTTAGTCAACTGAACGCTGTCGAGAAGATGAGCGACGAGCCGTGGCCTGAAGATGCAGTTCTCTACCAGCCATATGAAGCCGAACAAATACTTTTGCCAGAGCATGCAAGCTGCTTGGCAGTTAAGGCATATTTAAAGATGTGTCAGCTCCCATTTGAAGTGCGTTCTTGTTCAAATGCTGAATATATGTCACCAGGTGGACGTATGACCAAGCTGCCTTTTCTCCGCGCCGGTGCATTTATAGTTGCCGAATTCGAACCGATTGTTAATTTTGTAGAGCACAAAGGTTCCTCCATTGGTCAATGGCTTGACGAAGACAACAAATCTGATATGCGTACTTATGTTTCGTTGGCGGAAAACATTTTCACTATGGCTGAACTATACATAAGCTTTATGAACAAAACAGTGTATGAAAAGGTAACAGCGCCACGCAATGGCTGCGGATTTCCGTGGCCACTTAACATGATACAAAACTGCTCGAAACGACGCAATGCGCTACGTATACTGAAAGTGTATCAGTGGAATGATATGACAATTGATGATGTTATTGAAAAGGTGGATAAATGTTGCGAAACGTTGACACTCAAGCTCGAAGAATCGCCAGATACGCCGTTCTTTTATTCTAATGAACCTTGTGAATTGGACGCCATTGCCTTTGGACATCTTTTTGCAATTTTAACAACGGATTTGCCCAATATGGCATTAGCACAGACTGTGCGAAAATTCAAAAGTTTGGTAGCATTTTGCCAATTTATAGATGACAAATATTTTAAAATGAGGTCAATATAATTTAAATAGTTTTAATGTTGTCCGTTGTCGTTTGTGTACCTTATGCATCTTAGTTTTCCAGATTTTTTTTTTTCACAAATATATGCGCGCAAAAAAATTGCAATGTGCTTATCTCAATTTATTTACAATTATACAAATATGTACATACATACTTACATGTGCTTTGTGCATTAATTATTTAATATCACATAGCATTTAAATTACAATATTATTATGCTTTCAAGGTAATCGAATACGAATTTGTTATTTTTCAATTGCAAAAATGTTTGGCTTTGGTTTTACCATCATCTCAGCAAAATGGCTTACTTAATTCCGACAAAATATAAATATGTATACAGTTCTGCTTAATTCATTTGTGTATACAAGCACCCTTATTATCTCAAAACTAACTGCCTTTCCTTTAATTTTCAGTAAATAAATCTGGAAGGAATCAAAACGATCTCCCAAACATATGAATACATAAATTTTAGGTAATGGGAAATTCCATTGAAAAGAGGAAAATTACATAAAATTAAATACCTATGTCCTAATTATCTCTATTTCAGTAGTAATCTCTTTTTAAATTACTACATTTTTGTGTTCGTATGGAAAAGTAGATTATGTCGAAAGGCTGGCTTTAGTATAATGCGGCATTCCCTTTATTCTTTAAACGACAAGGAAGTTTTTGATGATTTTAATAAGAATATTGACTTGTTAGTATCGGAGCATTTCCTGCACGTTTATTTGCCAAAAGTTGTTGTACGGCTTAGCGCCAGTGAGTCATTCGCAAAAAGTATGCTGCGAATGCCGATTTATACTAAGGCCAGCCTTTCGACATAAGCTACTTTTCCATACCAACACAGATTTCATTTATTATATAAAAAATCAAAAGTAATTTTTGTCTATGGAAACTTTTATTTCATGCATAATTACTCTACACCAGTCACAAGATGTCCTACCAGTNCAACACTGATTTCATTTATTATATAAAAAATCAAAAGTAATTTTTGTCTATGGAAACTTTTATTTCATGCATAATTACTCTACACCAGTCACAAGATGTCCTACCAGTCACAACTTTAAATATTTTTTAAATTTTCCATGAAGATTATATAAACCTCATTTTTATTGAAAACGGAAGCGTATAATTCATATTTTACAACACATATACATCGTTCGTGAAAATTAAGCGTTTTGGCTAAACAAGGGTAAAATATTGTTCTGTCCAGTGTCCCACCAGTCACATTCATTTAAATGATAGTTACATAAAACTAAGAAATCGTTTGGTATTTTTGTCAAAGCTATTTTATACATTAGTTATCGTTCTATGATAAAAAAAAATATCTTTCGCTGTTGTATAAGTTCCGACGGCATAGTTAAAATTCACAATTGATCACATTCTGGAGTAAAATGTCCCACTAGTCACAATGGCCCTAATGTATTTTTATAGCATTGTACTAAAATATCGACGTATTAAATAAAGCTAGTCAATAGAGATGATCCGTAAAAATAGAGGGTTTCGTTACAATATCGTTTTGTCAGCCGCAAAACACCCTGAAACTTCTCACGTAAACAGTGCATTGTGTCTGGGTTTCTTTCCTTCAAAAGCGTTATGTTCCCCACTTCGATCTGCGTTGACTTAATATAACAATTCATGCTAAATAAAAAACAGGCATATAGGAAAGTTTAAGTTTTTTATATTTTATTTTAAATATCAGAAATTACCAGCAAAAATATGTATGTGTTAAATGTAGGTTAATTCGACAAAAATGCATTAAAATTATTACTTGACGAAATTTGGATTTTTCTTCAATATGACAAAGCCTTCCATAACTGGAGTAAGGGAGATATACTCATCAGTTGCCAGTTCGGCACGTTCGCCCATCGCAAGTAAAACCGGTGTAGTATGAGTTTGGAAACCAGTAATGGTTTTAGGTTTGCCAGCTTGGCCCACAACATCAATAGCTATACCAACACGCACCGGCACTTGCAGTTGATTTAACTCTTCATCGAATGTTATCAGCATGCGTGCCTGCATTGCTGGCACCAAAGTATAAAGCAAGTAATGTGAGCGACCCAATATTAATGTCTTAACATCCAATAGAGAAACGAGAGTTGCCATAAGACCCGCAACAGCCATAGGATTCATTAGTTGGCGATCACTGTGATATGGGCTGAGCGTCAGTGTGCCCTTACCCAAATGTGTAAGACTTTGCGCAATTCGAACCATGAACAAATTACTCGGATCCTTCGAGTGATATTGTGCCAATTGACGCAACATAGATGCCAGGCGAGCATTATTAGTACCTGCACCTATAAGACCCATTGCAAAAATTGCATTATGCGCCACTTCCGCATCGCTGTCATGTGAAAACTTGCTTAATGTATCCAGTATATTTAATTTAGGATTAGAAGCCGAAATTAAGCCTAAAGCAAGTGGTACAGCACGACGAATACACGGCTCACAATAGCGAAGTAAATTTCCGAACGAGCGAAAAGCCATTTCAGCTCCAATATCCTCACCCATAGCAATTAGAGCGATTCCCAATACAGCGATTGCCTGAGTTGCCGAAAGATCCTTCTCCTTTTCTTTCTCCTTTTCAGCTTTGTCCTGTGTTTGAAGCAAGTTTGTATTATTAAGTTTTTAATAGGTGCATTGCTATCTTAATTTACCTTTTCTTTATTTTTATCCTTCTTGCCTTTCTCTTCTCCTCCGTCTCCGTTAGAGGATTCATAATGGTCAGAGCAAATATGTAGCAACTGCTGGATTTTCAATACATTGCCGGTACCAGCATAAGCGCAAATATCTACCATGGTTGTAGCCATGGAACGGTATGGCTCATCCAGTACTTCTAAGGTGAGCATAACCGCTTCGGTGGCTTTTTGCCGTCCTAGGTATAACAAACCTAATCCTAACCATAGAAAACGGCTATACGTGTCCTTTAAATCGGACTTGGAAAGACCCATAATGGTTTGTAACAAAATTTCGGTAATTTCAGCATTGCACGAGCCCACCGATATCAAACCCAACGATAACGCGGTTATACCCATAACTTCTACATTAGCAACATTTTTACCATTGGTCGCAAACACCGTTTTCAATGTATCTATGACAATTGTGCGGTTAGAGCCAGCATATGCAATACCTAGACCCAGAATAGCACCGATACGCATAGATATATTTTGATTATCAATATAATCAGAGAGTAGGGCATGTGCAGGATCAACCTCATTGCGTATTCCGCAATTTACAATGCCACATGCGAGAAGAGCACCGGATTTGATGTAATCATCGGTTGAATACAGATATTTATCAATCATAGTTAAACCACCATCAACGTCCCATAATAGAATCAGTCCTAGAGAGGCGGTCGCAGAGAGCATGCCGTGCTCTTTATTTTTGTACAGCCACTTATTGCCATCTTCGGAGAGTAGTTTATCTACACCAAAGCCAGCATTTACAAAACCATTTACAAAACTGGCAGCCAAATTTTGCTTCGCTGAGTCAACCTGATATTAATAAATTATTAATAAAACAAATAATTTGAAGTATGTATCATACCTGTATCGAGGCGAAACGCGTACGTGCATTATCTAAATGAGATTTGTATATGTCCTCCGGTGTTTTGGCTTCCATGATATCAAGTTCACGTGCCAAATTCAAGAAATGTTTATTTAAATTCGCATTGGACATGATTTCCATCAGATCATCATAATCTGGCACAGACTCATCTAATTCCAGGCACACTTGCTGGCGGGCTAGCATGAAAGCAAGCTGCTTTTGTACCGCGGCGTCTTTAGGTTCCTTAAATATTTCAGTGATTTTATCCATATCATTCAGCATCAATGCCAAACGCAAAGCTTGCGTGTGTTGATTAAATTTGCGTGCCAATTGCAAAGCAGTCTCCAAAATTATAGTATTATCTGGTTCGGGCACATACGGATAGCAAGATTGTAAATATAAACAAACGCGTGGATATGCCGATTCGTCCACATATTCTTGCAACAAATGCAGATGGTCAATCTCAATAAGCAAATCGCAAGCATCTGCTTCAGCGTTATGTTCCATATTATACGGTATAATCTGTTTGACCAATTCAATCAACTGTGATTGAAATTCTTCAGATGTATCCAAGTAATGCGCCGCTATTTCGCCAGATAAGTGGCGTACATACTCATGACCCCAATCTCCAATTTTTTGCGACCGATCGCAGAGGAAACGGTACGCTAAACAATCTTTACCGCTGCCCATAGTCATGGAAAGTACAGAAATAATATCAGCGCACAATTGTCGCGTTTGCTGATCGGGCATCTGCTTATACAGCGTTTTCATAGTGTCATAATGAGGCCGCATGAACTTCAAAGGTTTCGGCACCGAAGTCATGGATGTAGTAGAGGCTCTTATTAGCTTTGCCAGCATTTCCAGTGCTGGCAAGTATAGGGAATTGTCGGGCTCTTGCAGGCGACTAACGAGCATTTCTAGTTCATCTTGTAACTGTTGATCTTCGTCGGAAAGCTCCTGTTCCTTACCTTCGTCTTTGGCGTCTTTATTTGCCTCCTTTCCCGGTGCATCTTTCACTTCGTCTTTCTTCACCTCAGCTACAGATTTTTCTTCCTTCTTTGGAGCAACCATTTTTTACCGATTTTCAAAGGACGTATCGATTCTTTTTGTTTAATCACCAGTACTCAGCAAGAATTACAGTGCGTTTTTTAAATGTCAAATCAGGTGAACTGTGCAGCCAATAACCAAGAAATATATGACAGGTGACAACTGGAGATGAGGGAATGTTATCGGAATTAACAGAAGCTAAAGCGGGGTGTACACAATCCAAATTTTTTACAACATCGAGTTGTTCTGTAGAACGGCTACTAATACCATGTCCCCACCGGAGCTAACCACATAACCGATAACTCACTTCATTTAGCGTAGTTTCGCCATATAAAAATGACAGCACTTAACCATTTCACTGAGATGGATAAAAGCTAACCAACTAGAAACCACGTCGAATGTCTGATACAACCCTGTTTTTTCCGGCCATCTGTGGGTCATTAGCGTTAAAATGTAAAAAATTCGTTCCTTAATACTAGACTTCGCTAAGATCAGATTAGATTTACACCGGTTTTTGAAAAAATTTGAAATCTACTCCGCTTGACTTCTATTCCGTTGGGGGACCGAGAACCAAGATGAAGATGGTCGATTTGGAAATACTTGCAGCGTTTGGAACAGCAAGTGTGTCTGATCGGGACGATCAGACTTAGGTGCAGGGCATTGTGGCGAATACTGCGGCAACGCGAAACGAACATGAAAATGGCAGAATGTTCGAGGAATGACGTAGAATATTCGACAGTGAGACACGCCAAGTGGATGAATACTGCGAACAGGGAGAATGTGCGATATAGGGCTTTCGCAAGAGGCGATTTTTCAGGCAACTTTTGCGTTCAACTCCCGCAGGATTGCATTAAAAAAAAAATGAATGTTTAAAAATATCAATATATAAAAAATTATCAACATATTCGCCATAAAAAGGCCTTTGCATTGTTCAACTTTGCATTCTACTTTTGGTTGAACGGCCTTTCAACTAATCGCTTTCAACAAAGTTGGTCGCCAGCCAACATTTAGCCATTCAACTTATTTTTCATGCAACCCTGTCAGCAAAAATTATCCATCAGGAAAATCTATGATTACAAAACATGTGGTTGCAATTTTCGTAAACAAACAAAATTTCATTTTTCGAGTTTTGGTATTTATATGCTTTCTGGCTGCCTGCTCTGTAACTTTATGATAGTGGCAACTATTTTTACTTCTAGAAATGTTCCTGGCGAACATTGAACGTTGACTTTTCTATTTTCTTCCATGGAGGACGTGAATTTAAGTTTGTTTACAAATAAAACATAAACAAAGTTTGCGGGTGTGTCTTCTTCCGGTTCTTGTAAGTGATGGCTAATTTCCTTTTTTTGCTTTTCTTCTCTTTGGGAGAGAATTTTCGCTTACGCTCTTGAGTTTGATTGTTGGCTCATTGTTTGCTGGGGCTCTATTCTGTAACTATGAGTTTTCAAGTGTACACTGAAAATTGTGTGCACTCTTCATTTTGCGATTCAGGAAGAGTGAGAATGAGTTTTAGCTGTCAAAATTATGTACACTTCCTCATTTTGCGATTCAACATGTGTGAGAATGAGTTTTAACTGTCAAAATTGTGTACACTTCTCTTCTGAAAAACTCATTGAATTTTAGTCGGTAAGTTTTTGGTTGTGAGTTTTGCACTCGGTGTATACTACATTTTCTCACAGTTATAGAATAGAGCCCGTGGTGTTGGCTAATTTTGTTATCGAACGGAACTAAGGATAATCGTAAAAGGCCCTACACACGCATTGATTTATCGCCCAACCAGTGAACGAATAACACAAGATCACGCAAGAGCAAGAGAGTGAAAAATGGCGATGTTTTTTAGCGGGTTCTACGCCATCTGGTCTCACTAGAAAAAGAAAGAACATTGAAAAAAAACAAAGAAAACATCGAAAACCAAAGTTAGCCAAAATTTTTGTCAGCCACTTTAAACACTCAATTTACCTAAAGTCAATCCTTAAAACGCTTTAAAACGTGTTGTCATGTTGAACTAACCTCCTCTTTAGTTGAAGAAAAGTGTAAATTAGTTATGTATGTGATGTATAGAAATGCTCAGCTGACGATCTCTTTGCAGAATTAAATTGTTGCGTGTTAGAATTTTTGCCTGAATGAATAGTTTCGTAAAAAAACATCTGACATTTATATATGTAGGTGGAAGAAAATGGTTTTTTGCATTTCAGCAGTTTTCTCGGTTATTTGATCATTGCTCTCTCTTAAGAGAGATATATTTCTTTTTGACAGTTCTATAGGTTTTAATCCAAAAACCGCTGGAACACACCTAATATGTTGCATATCCCGAAAATCAAAGAACTAGATCTGGCATCTCTCTCGCATTTGGCCCGTCTTTTCCTTCCAACAAGCTCGTTTACTTTTCCTGTAGAAAATTAATCTTATCTTATTTAACAATAAACATACAAAAACTTCACAATGCCACCACCGTCAGCTAGTCGAAAATTTATGTATCCTGAACAGTCAGTGCCCTATTCCTTATATATAAAGCGCGAAAATCCGGATGATGTATTTGCCAAGCTTTGGAAGCCATCCAGCTTGCAGTTGGAGGAACGATCCACATGTAGGTAACGTAATTTTTTATGAAGATCAATGTTTAATGAGTTCGTTGCAGTCTTAAAAGTCGGTGCACTGGCAACTGTAAAGGGCTCGGCCTACATGGAATATGGTAATACAAAGGTAATGGCATCAATAGAACCACCACGTGAGCTAACTAAGCAGACCAGAAAAATGTGAGTGGCCTCATGAAAAATGTGATATTTTAATGCTTCACTTTTTTTTTTTAGTGGCACACTAGGCATAGTAACGTGTACACTGAAATATGCACCGTTTGCGGTTAAAGATCCCTCATGTATACCGAGAAAGGAAACGTCTATGGCATTGGCGCTGAAAAAAGCACTAGAGCCTGCTATTTGCCGCCATGAATTTCCGTACTTTCAACTAGAAATTAAAGTGATCATATTGGATGATGATGGATGTGCGCTTAGTACCGCAATTAATTGTTGTGGCGCTGCTTTGGTGGATGCCGGTATTGCTACTTACGATCTAATTACAGCGTCAACAGTATGCAAATACAGAGATGTAGAGTTCGTAAATCCAAACGGTAAGTGAAGAGAGTTTATTTTAAAAACACCTCAAGCTATTTATTTCTAATTTCAGCTGTAATTGAGCAGTTAGTCTCGACCATAAGCGACTCTGCGGCCGACGAGGAGCACGGTATAGTTGTTACTGCTAGTTTGGCGGCAGTGGACCAGATTACCGAATGCTTCCAAAAGGGATATTTCAAACCAGAAACGCTCAAACGACTTACGGAACATACATTGACTTTGAATGAACGCATTTTGGATACACTACGTTATGTATTAATTAACAAGGTAAAACAACAGTTGGAAAAGCAGGAAGCCATGAGGGCAATTTTTGAATCGTCAAATGTCGGAGCTAATGATGATTCGGATTAAAGATTATAAACGTTCATTCGAAATAGAGAAAGACATTTACTTTTTTAACTAAAATATTTCATCGAAATTTACATAACGAAATTTTGCCTTAGGTATTAGACTCAACTTCTGAATAGATTTTAGGAATCTGCAGATGCTTCTAAAACAGCGCCAGAATAAGCTAAATCCCAATAGTGTTCAACCTGATGCTTCTGGAAGAATTCCCGTGCCATTTTTTCCATCGGAAATACTTTGAATTTTATTTCACCGAAGTGTCGACGTTGACTAGTGCCCTCCCAAACCAGCACGCATGTGTTCGGTATTTCTTGGCCGTCGGGCCCTTTCACCATATCCTCTTCCCACTTGATTCGGTGCTGCATAAGTCGACGGTATTTCTTCTGCTGCTTTGGCCCACCCTCGACCACGACGACGCAACAATCGCGAAAAAGTACCACCGAACCAGTCATGTGCAATTGTTTGGCGTTCGTCTCCACCTTGAACTTTTTGCTAGCATTGTCTTGTAAATCTCGTATACGATATACGCTAACGTTGACACCGCAAGAAGTATCCTCTTTGATCTTGCGTATTTTCTTTTCACTTTTCTGCTCTGCTGTTAATTTTCTTGCGTTGTTGGCGTCCTCATGTGCTTTTTGGCGTTTAGCCATTTGCTCGCGTACGTGTGCTTCAATTTTAGTTGGGTCTTGTGCAGCCTCAGTACCAAGAACACGCATCAAATTCGAAATGCGAAGTTTTGGTTCAGGTGGAGCTACCAGACCCAAACGGATTTTTTCCTGTTCCTCTTTCCATGCTTCCCGACGATTTTGACGGCGAAGCTTTTTGCGCTCCTTCTTTGTAAGAAAAACAGGCAAATAGACTGGCTTTAAAGGTTCATCTATTAGTACAAAAAAAGGGAAATTTAGTTAAGCAAACAAATAATCAAATTAGTTCAACGTTCCTACTTATCAGAATAAAAAAAATGTATCTTTAAGCATATTCGAAGACTTAACTTACTTGGTGGCTTCATTTGTGTGGGATGCTCAATGAGATTGGTGATGGCTGATTGCCTGATACTAATCTTTCCACTTTCATCCGACGTATTCAAATCCTGTGTTAGAATTACAGAATCCCACCATTCCATTGCTGGCACATCGTCTGGGGTATCTTGTTTTGGTGCGATGAGGGCCAACTTTGTGGCAGAACTAATACCAGTTTTGCGTGCAATTTGCGAAATTTCATTTTGAAGTTTCTCCAACTGTGCTTTCATGCGCAAACGCTCTGCTAGTTGTTGAAATTTTCCTGGTTCATGGAAGCGTAATGAACGTTTGGTCCGTACAGTAGGTTTCTGGGCAATACGATCATCAAAGAACTTTACAGAGTCCTCCTGCTGCGCATGTCGATCTGTATGAACTTGGCTTCTATTGAATACTTCTCGCTTTTTGGCGCGTATATTTGCTTTTAAAGTTGGAGTAAGGGTCGGTATGCTAACGGTTCTGCCACTTTTATCTATTGTTCGTCCATCTTCGTCTAAAATTAAAGGTTTTGGTCGATCTTGCACCTGCGGTGGTTGAATGAGATTAGACAATTTTGCACGTATTTGTGCTTGCAATTCTGCGATCTTTTTGGCTTTTTCAGCGTCTTCTGGTACAGCAGATTTCTTTGCTAGTGCTTGCGTAGCTAAAGCAACTGGTAAACCGATTTGTGGGACAGACGCAAGAATAGGATCTTTAGCTTTCAGATTATTAAGTGCACGCTTTCTTTCTTCTATTTCTCGTTGAGCATTAACCATCATCAATTTGATTTGTGTCGAATTCAGCCCTGCTGTAGATTCAGCAGGCGTGGCGGTAGCCGCATTTATATTTGCCGCAACCGCTGAAGCTGCGGCCAATGGCGTTAAAGCGGGTGCGGCCGTAGCTTTACTGATCTTCTCTTTCATATCGAATCGAGACTTTTTCGGCATTTCTGTACCAGTTTCCTCACTGGCGTTACGTTTTTTGGCTTTACGACGATATTCATCTAATTTGTCTTGCAATTTATCCGCTAGTCTAGAGCTCTGTTTTGCGTCCAGGACCTTTTCCAGTTTTTCCCCAATGCGTCGTCGGTCATATCCATTGTGTAAACAGTGTTCGATAGTGCCTATGACGCGATCCTCTTCGCCACTAGCAGCTACTCCCTTTGTCAAAGCTGCAATGTCAGGGTGCAATTCATCGATCTCCTTACGCGTATAATAGGACATAATTCGCAATTAATTTGGTCTGAAAAATGTTTAATTACTATTTACCAAAGCCGAATATATTGTTTTATCTGGATTAAAACAGTTTTTATGCAATAAAATTCATGAAAACGTTGAAAATCGTCTCAAAAATTTTCGTCTGCTCAATAAAATTTGACGTTTCAAGCTGATGCCAGATCTTTCGAAGCCAATTGGAATCATGGTATGTATACAAAGTAACCAGAGACTTTCACTTGGCAAGAATCATAGATCATTAGTTAGTGAGTTGGTGAGTGAAATGGATTAAAAAGAATTGGTCCAAGTAGTCAACAACGCTGAAAAGTTACATATCTTGATATAAAAATAGTAAAGAAAAAAGATTCGTTTTAGGTTTTCGCAAATAATCATATGTATTGTTTTATAAAAGTTTCAGTTTGTTATACATAAATAGTGTGGCAATTCTTGAAATACAACTCTGACAGTGTTCACACAAAGTGGCAGCATTAATTGTTAAAGCGGCTTCGTGAGTGAATTCTGACGTACTGAATTTGTAGTGCTGAATTTTTATAAATTAATCTAGTTTTTTGTGAATTAATTACTTGAAATTTGTGAATAATCGTGAAAATGGCATCTGAAGATGAGAATGACGATACTTTTCAAGGTAAGCGGAAATTTTTAAAGCGTTAATTTGTGAAATGAAAGTTGTGAAAAAAGTTTTGTGGTCAATCTTGGCGATTTCGACGTCTATGCGTACGAGGGCGCAACGAAAGCCATGGCGCTGAAATCGGCAACCTCTGCAGCAATTGGCCGCTTTCTTGTGTTCCGCGTTTTCGTTACTATTACAGGCGTTCTCATGTCATGTGTGAAAAATTGCCGCCAAATTTTCTCAGGTTGATAATTTTCATAAGTATTTTTTTGTACACGTTTTTAGAACGTGATTAAAAGAAATTGTGAAATTTGCACAAGTTTCCATTTTTCGTTAGCTTTGGGTTGTTTCATTTCATTTTCGCCTTACGCTTTCGCCATTTTCATTAGTTTTTAATACATGATCTATCTCTTTCTGACATACGTAAATTTAATATTGTTTACACATATTTTGATGTCAACGTTAATTTAGTGGGCTCGCTTTGTGGGAAAAATGCATTTGAAATTGCCCGAAACGTGTCGGATATGGAACTTTGGGGAATCAAAACAGAAGTTCAAATGTTAGGGAGGACAAAAATATAAAACAGATGATGTCTATTTAATAGGAGGTGCTAAAGTAGAAATAATGTTATGATATTTAGTAACAATAATGCCTTGGTTATAATGCAAGGGGCGAATCGTAACAAATCGTGGCGAATTCGTAAGGATCTATTGATTTTAGATGCTTCCGTTTTACATTGCGTTCAAGTGCATTAGGAGCGTTCCTTATCTCCCAGAAATAGTCAGAAAAAGTCCGAAGTAGTCAGATTTAGTCCAAAAAGCGTTCCTTAACTCGTAAATGACAGCAAAAATGAGAGAGCGACACTCAGTGTGAGTGACTCTCATCAGTCCGAAGTATTCAGATTTAGTCAGAAGAATTTTTTCTGGCAAAATCCTGAAAAGTGTCAAACTCAACTGAATTTAGATTAAAGAATACACAAAAAGTGATAATAATCTAAAAAGTGAACAAGTAAGAAAGTCTAAGTTCGGGCGGAGCCGAACATTAAATACCCGGCGCAAGTATTAAATATATGTTTTTTCACCTTTCCGAAACCTAGTGCTAGATGGTAAGCCGGGGTGTATCAATTTTGAGTAAATTAGCGTCCTTAAATTTCGAAATATTGAAGTTTCAAGCATTTCTGAAATTTACCGT